GATTGTTGTGTTTAACATGACAATTGACTTACAAGGTGTGATCTTACGTAATGTCTTACACTGAGTTTTCTGATAATTAAAGATTTATTAACCTAGAATTATCCTCATAGATAGTTGTACAATAGAATGGGCAGGATGACTGGGGCTAGTTGAGCTGGTGATCAGCACAATCGACTTGTAGAATATTCAATTTAATAACTTAACAATTTTACAACATAGGATTCCAAAACTGAAAACATTGTGTGGCTAGCGTGACTTAATTTTGTCATTTGTGACTAAGGGTCGGAACAGACGGGACGGCACTTCACCGTCACAACTCCTGGAGCCGATACCACTGAATATAGAAATTCACTTCAAAACACCATTGACAACATTACCAGTGAAACGATCACCTGCTACACTGACGGGTCACTCACAGACTCAGGATGCGGGGCTGGCTATATCATCACAACTGACAACAATAACACCACCCTTGAAGAAAGATCATTCAAGCTCCCTGATTATTGCACTGTTTACCAAACAGAGCTCACCGCCATCATTGAAGCTTGCAAATATCTCTCTACATATACCAACACACATATCATCATATGGTCTGACAGTCTCTCATCTATACAAGCTATCTCTGCGCTTTCAACGCGGAGTAGAACTACAAGAGACTGTTACGACTCTCTTAATGCACTCGGATCCAACAACACGCTAGAGATACGATGGATTGCAGCACACATCGGATTGTGGGGGAACGAAAAAGCAGATGAGCTGGCCAAGCTTGGTACAATCAGTGAATCCACTTTGAAGTGTCCAGTTCCACAATCCTACATCAAGCGTCAAATCGACAACAAAGTCAACAGACTGAATCAGGAAACTTGGTTAACTGACGGTCCCAGACACACCAAACTGACACTCGGCCACAAGCATGCCAAAATCATCAAAAACCTCAACACTACACTCAGCAAAAACAGACAAGATTACAGAACTGCAGTTCACCTCATCACGGGTCACTGCGGCTTAAACAAACACCTTCACACCATTTGCAAATCAAACACCAGTGCTTGTCCTATGTGCGGCGACGGAGAGGAAACTGTCTCACACTTCCTTGGACAGTGTCCAGCTATTGCCCAAATTAGAGGTCAATATTTCCAGGACTACTTCCTCTCTGTCAATGACATATTCGACAACCAACACATCACCACAATTGTCAATTTCGCAAACCGCACCAAACGCTTAATTGTGCCGGAAGAGCTGGATCAGACCGGGGTGACTTAAAGTATTATCTCATATATGCTATCTCGTCTCGTTTTACTTTTCCAAACCCAGCTGGCATTTAAGCGTATCATTTTGACTCATATAACATCTTACACCATCCTCCACCAATCACTCTGATTTCACCGGCAACCTTCCCCAAGGTTGACACACCCCAGAGGTAGGCAGAGCATCTCAATGCTATCCTCTCGTGGGCTATCTTGGCCCAGCCTCTCTTAAAAAAAGAAAAAAAAAAAAAGAAAAAAAAGACGGGACATGACTCGAGCCGTGACAACTCTCACGAAGAGACACGAAGTGCTAAACAGACTGTGAGAACAGACTGAGGATTCATTAAAATGATCCACCATCTGTGTTCCTGGAATTTTAAAACACTCCAAGAACAAATGCTTGATTATCGACAATAAGGAAGTAAACGGTGTAGACGAAGTGAAGCTTAGCAAATGGTTCAACATTGAATGCCTGGAGGTCGCATCAATAAAAAAGCTATGGACAGAAGCTTGCATTAAATAAATAAATCCTCGTGTAGTTTCTTCCTAGTTTTTAAAAAATATATACGACGCTGATGAATTATAGGCCCCTTCCAGCAATTGAATCCTGCCATCTAATATGGCAGGTTTTAAAGCCTTAATCTGATTCCTGCACAAATTAATCGCCAATCCTGCCTATTCATTTTATTTGCGCAGATATGAACTCTATTACTAAGCAAGGTTAATATTCTGTTCATGTTCGGACGGTAAGCACCAAAGTCAGTTGGAGGAGCGACCTAAACACTGTCAAGATCGGTTGCCTATCTTAACCCCCCCACCCACCCACCAAACAGTTTGTATTGTACGTGTGCATGGGTACGGTTACACGTTCACATCATTCTAGTTAATGACGTAATCAGATCATGGCGTGTGTACGGTGCAGATATGACATATGAGCACCTTGCAATTGCCGAGTCAAGCTGTGGTATTGGTAACGATAACTATGTGAACAGAGGGTCAAATACAAATAAGGAAAGTAAACATATGATATCTGTCTGCTCGCTTTTCCTGTTCGTGATTGGACGGATCGGCGTCACTTGACATACCACTTTTATTGCTATTGGTCGGTCCGCGCTCGGGATCACGGAGCACATTGCTGCCGGTCGTTCAGAATAAATTTAATTCAGTTGTTATCATGATTGTTTTGTGATGTTGGTTACCTGCTTTGTTTTTCTTTTGACTTTGTTATCGTGCTCTGCTAGTGCTATGAAAATTGTAATAGTACTTGTTCGATTACTATTAGTTAAGGAGACGATATTCATGTTTTTCTTTCTTGCAGCCGCAGGATCAATATGTTCTTCGTTTGAATAAAACATGAATTTGTAGGGATAAAGAAGTGTTGTTGGGCTGTAAAACCAACTTAAATGGATTTCTCGTGCAATGCATTAGGTGATATGAGGAACAGTCACCAAAATGAGTTGCTTACCTCATACCTGCTGTGTGTTTTCTTAACGGGTGATACTCGTAATATATTTGTTTCAAATATTAGGACCGTCGACGAGTCCAACTCGGCGCGCGTCCTGGTAGGTTATAAACCTAAAATGTGTTTTCATACTCTGCTCTTCACTCAAGTTGCAAAGTTGTAGGTTTACAACCTACCAGGATCCGCGCGCCGAGTTGGACTCGTCGACGGTCCTGGAACAAATATTTTACGAGTATCACCCGCTAAGTTGCAAAGCTGCAATCCCAGAAAACCTTACCGCCTGCCGGGCTCGCTATAGAGGTGATCGATTTTCAACAGCACGTTTGTCCTCGCGCGTCACATCAAGTTTGAAGTTCACCTTTCGCACGCTGCATTTAGCCTAGTAGTCATGACAACGACATTACTTTGCAAAGTTTAAAAGCTGCGATCTTTTATTTAGCCCAAAATTGAAAATCAAACTTTTCGGTTTAATTCAGAATTTAAGTTGTCCCAAATTTTGCTCCTGGGGAGCTAACTTTAAATTTGAAAACTGGAACTGGAAGGTTCTATTTATTTTACTTTTGGAGATATACCCCAGCCGGTAGGGTTTGCTGGGATATAAATAAACATATTGCAACGATTTACGGTAATATCACGTGATCGAGATCGACAGTTTTTCGCCAATATCTCGCCAGGGCATTTTAACCATATGTCATGGGGGTGATTCGGATTTCGAAATCAGCGTCCGAAAATACATCGATGATCAAGGCTTGTAGCGCAATGCGTTACTGGGCTGCGCCGTGCACTTAATTATGCTTCTCGCAACCACATAGATTGGCGAAATGCGCTACTGGGCCTTACTGAGCTGCAATGAATTGAAATCGTCAAAAAGTAGAAGTTATGCAAGAGGCTAAAAAGATCAGTGCCGCGCATAGTCAAATGCAAAAGCGCTCGTATAGTAGTAAGTATACAATATAATTATAAAACATGGAGTTTTTGTAGCATTTTATTTTGAGTAAACTCAAAACTGTCATGTCTTCATTAGTTGATGATTAGTTGGTAATACAATCGATTTAGGTCATGTTTACCTGGGGACCTCAGGCTAGGCTTTAATTGAAGATGTCCATGTCAATTAATCGCAGCTCGGCGAGGCACAGTAGTAGGGGGTGCACGATAAAAATAAACTTGCTCGGATTTTCAAAATTTTTGTACCATTGTTTTCTAGACCAAATTTGTCATATTTTTTTGGGATGTTCAGTGAGTTTTGCCTAGGTGCCATATTTGATGGTGCACGGCTTTTGGAGCAAAATTAAGTGTAAAACTTGCGTAATTTGACCAAATTCGTTCATTTTTGTCGTATCATTTTATCATATCTTCGATTCCTAAACATGAATCATGCTGAAAATTTGTCAGAACCTTCGAATCATACTTAACTACCGAACCTAATTTAGTAGTGAGAGATTGGTCTTGATTAAGAGGTCGAAAAATGACAAAATAGGTATAAATTCGGTGATAACTCAAATTCTGACCATCGAAATTGCTCAAACTAAATTAGGTTCAATAGAACATAAGTGTTTACGTACGCTGACAAAATTTCAACAAAATTGTTATATGGGAAGCATTATAACTTTTTGAATGTTTCCGAAATAATGTGCTGGCCGAAATAAGAGCTAAAAAACCATTCAATGGTCAGCGCGCGCGTTTTACGGTCGATGGCGCACTGCCTAACAGTAGCGCATTTCGCCGATCGTTGCGAGAAGCATAAATGAGTGCACGGCGTGGCACAGTACAACGCGTCGCGCTACAAGCTAGGCTATAACGTTCATAAATAGAAATTCGGCGGAATGATAGCAAATAGGCTGAGCGCTGCGCGCCGGCCCATAGTGAAGGTTTGTATCACGTTGTGACCCCCACTGTCGTTTCACTATATGCTATAGATTTTCAACGATACAGGGGGAGCCGCGCAATCGTGCCCGTCGGCTTATACAACGTATGACAAGTAAATAATAAAAGGTCAGGTATGGTGGAATAACAAAACACATATTTAATATAGAAATTAAATTGTGAAACAATTTTAATATTTAAACTGCGAACTATTTTTAATCAATACTGAATACTATATACGGCGGGAGCTTCTGAATTTTATTATATTATTTGATTTAAATAAAAGATCCAATTTAAATTTTATCCTCTCGGTTTTGAGCTACTATCACCATTCTCAATTGTTTTTCCACAAGCTTTCAGTTCTCCCTCCCTAAATATTATGACGTAAGCATATCATAACATAACATAATTTCATTATTTTATGTAATAAATAATTTGATTGACCATTGACGATGTCAATCCTTCACATAACAGCTCGGCAAAGCACATTTAATTGGTTCATCGTGCTACATAACAATTAAAAGATGTTATAATTCGGCTTTTCTCATATCACTTACAGCCAGCTGCTCATGTGTTGTTGGATAATATTATGAATATGAGCGGGATATAATTACCTCATGTTATTGTTTTGAAATAAAAATTGTAAATGTTGGAACAAAAAAGAAAATATTTGGTATGTTTAATTTTATCAAACGTTCATAAGTTGGCTTGCATAAAATTGCCATAACTAATTGCTATCTTGTCTTATATTTTGTATTATCTTAACTGTTTTCATAATCATAATTCCAATTTCTTTAAGCTATGGGAGAAACTAAAAAGAAAAAACCTCATTTTATTGGACTTCCTCCTTTGAAGTCAACCCAGAGAGCTAAGTTGGAGAAAGATTTCAAATTAGGTAGGAATTAACCTTTTTGTTCCCATGGTTTCAAAAAGTAAATTTGATTATGTTATTACCCAATGTTGACTGAATTTGCTGTACTAAAAAAGGTTAAAATGGGCGTTTAAGACAAGGGTGTTTAAAACAAAATCACATGTAGCGTCACTATGAATGAAGAATTTCACTATATCAATAAGAATTGCTATCATCTCTTTTAGGTTTTTATGCCTGGAATATTCAATCATTATTGTATTTTTATCAATAAGTTGAATTATACAAATTGATTTAATGAGGTTTTGCCTTAATGAAATTATTGTTCACCTTATATGTGATCCCTTGTTAAAAATCCCTTTGTTAGCTTTGACCATAAATTTTCGCTGTTTTAAGAATTATCAAGTACTTATGTATTTTTACTCTCAATATCTCCTCAGATTGCATTGCTGTAGGAAACTTGTCGGATACAAGACAGAACAAGACAAATCCTTGTGTTCAAGTAACAATACCTCTCTACAATCCTCAAGAAGATAAGGGCTGTAGAAACTATTTTGGATTCAAAGGGATCAAAAAAGTAGGTTGAAATTGGTATCAATAATCTACCCACTTCCAGAAAGGCAGCAGACCAGCAGATAATCTGTGAGAAAATTTTGGATTTTGGAGAGGAAATTTGGTGCTAAAGAAGAAATTGTTAAAATACCTGACTTTAAGGGTAAAATAAAAGTTCTAGGGGGGAAACTTTGGACTACGAGGTTATATAAATCTTTCTGAAGGGGGATAATCTACCATTTATCAGATTGATATTGTTTCATGCAAAAATCTCTACTGTACATCATACATGTATGCTATATTTTTTCGTATCAAGTTAAAGCTACAAACAATCGTTTGCTTCGTCGTCCTCAGTCCTAACACCAAAATTGCCATTTTATTATCTTGACCCCAATGATTCATCTTTGATTAAAGACCAGAGACCAATCGTTCAGATATCTAAGTTAAGTGTACTACTCAAGCATCAAAATTTTGATGCTGGCCTTCCTCAAAAACTTAAATTCTAATTGCATTAGTCCCTTTTTTCAAACCTGTCATAAAATTAAAGATACATCATCATATTTTCTATATTTTATTCATAAATGTTGTAAAAATGAAAACTCACCTAATTGAGAGGCACCACCACAGATAGAGTGCAAGGATCATTTAGCATTAAGGAATAACATTCAAACTCTTCGGGAAACCGAAATTTTGAAATGTGACGAAAATATAACAACATCGCTAAATATCGAATGTTAAATGAAATAATATCATCAGAAAAAATTTATTGATTTTCGGTTTGGCCGGTGTTTCAGAGGCTTAATCAGCAATTTTTTAAATCTTTAACTTTATAAGTGCAATGGGTGGGGTAATTTTAAGCGGATCGGCATCGTTTTTCAAGGCTACCCAAGTGTGCTCCTTAAACAATTTCTCTGGCTAATATTAGTACTATTGAAAACGCACACAAACATGAGTATCGCTGATGCCCTCACGTGCTAATTCTACCAAATACCCAGATACCCATTCAAGTTTCATTAAGCCGCCCTACTGGTAAGACAATGTTAGTATTCCATTGTAATATCAAGCAATCTATAATGACGATTCAAATATTTATTAGTAACGACAGCAGCGGCTGCTTTTGAGGGCAAGGTTTCTATTTAACCATACAGACCAGAAGGTGACAGGAGTCAGGAAGTATTGATTTGGGTTTCTCTCAGTTACAAAGAATATGAGCTATTTAGGTACTGTTCGTGGTCTGCTATTCAATAAACCTTATTTAACGACACAACGGTTCATTAAAACGGTTCTAACAAATCAACAAAGCTAGATTATTTGAACAAAGCAACAAAAGATGTTGAAGACAGGAAGGATCACAGAGGCGGGTACCTAAATTATAGAACTGGAGCAAGATTATGAAAGAGAAAGAGATTCCATGGCGACGTCAGGATAATGATCATGAATTATATTTATGATAGGTTCAAGTTATGCATTAATTAAGTTGATTAATTAAACGGTAATTACTCCCGAAGTTATTGTAATTCTCATTTAGGCCAAATGGTGCGGATGAAGGTGAACTTTACCATGAACGAAGTTAGAACTATCATTCGTGCTAGTTTTTATAAAGTTCAATCAGTTATTCATGATAAAGAATCCTCTACATATCACGTCAGACCGTCACGACGGCTAGTGACCATTAGCAAAATATACTAAATCAGTTTAAAGATTGCACCTCTTGTTAACTGAACGATTCACCAGATCTTGACATATTTCTCCAATTTGCATAATTATTTTATATCGTCACCATCATTTCAAGCGCTTAAAGGACCAGTTAACTGAAAAATTTGTAGTCTCCAATTTGGCTAAGATTTAAATCAGCTGTGACAAACTGGTAAAGAATCGTATCGCCGAAAGAACCAACTCTCTAGCGTACGTGTAACGCGTGTTATTACAATAATAAGCTGTGGCCTCGTGACGTCACGAAGTCCCTCAATGCGCGCTGGCATAGCTCGTAATACGTTGCAAATGTTTATCGTTGTCAATAAAACACCTGTAACTCACTCAAATTTTAGAATTATGACTATTTCCCTAGTTCTCCAAAATCCTTATAGTCTTGGCTATCACCTTGTTGTTGTTGTTGCTTTGTTACCGCTACTCCTACTTTTTTATTAACCTCCAGAACGCACGGCATAGCGTAATACATTACAAATGTTTATCATTGTCGATTAAACACGTGTAACTCACTCAAATTTCAGAATTATGACTATTTCCCTAGTTCTCCAAAATCCTTATAGTCTTGGCTATCACCTTGTTGTTGTTGTTGCTTTGTTACCGCTACTCCTACTCTTTATTAACCTCCAGAACGCACGGCATAGCGTAATACATTACAAATGTTTATCATTGTCAATAAAACACGTGTAACTCACTCAAATTTTAGAATTATGACTATTTCCCTAGTTCTCCAAAATCCTTATAGTTTTGGCTATCACCTTGTTGTTGTTGTTGTTGCTTTCAGCCGAGTATATGATTCAAGTAGACACTTTTATTTGAATAAAAAACAAAACATAATATACGAATATCTAAGTGAATTGAACTATAAATAGACATTGACGATCCCTAAGTAGGGTAAGTACTACAAATGCATAGAAACTAGAATTGTTGGAGTGTATTACAGTTGGATTGAGATGAAAATTCGCTTTCTTTAAAACCCACGTACTCGTTTGAAATGCTCGGATATTTGGTTCTTATTGATTGGATTACACACGCAGGGAGCCTGTACCGATTATTTTTCCCCAGTCCATGAAACTCTAACAAATTTAGAAAGGATCTATAAGCTGTATGGCGTAGAAGTTGGTGGAAACTCTCCTGGTCATCTTTATCCGGATAACTAATAGTTTTGTGACCATATGTGGCCATTTCTAATGCGTCTCTATTTAAAATAAAATTGCAAAATTTGCTGTGTTCAGTTATACATTGATTTTCTGTTTCCATCATGTCTCGAACAACGTTAACGTCAGAGCAACAGTAGGAAACTTCCCCTTCAGGTAGTGTTTCGCATTTCCCACAAATACACCAATCTTTTGAGTGAACACTAACGGGAGCACACAACCGATCTTCTACGTCATCGTCCTCTTCATCTGTGTCACAGTCCTGCTCCTTACAAAGTTCTTGGTCGCTATCATGGTCACTGAGATCTAGCCGATAGGGGTCAAATGCCAAACTGTACATGATGGATGTTGAATTGTTGATCACCCCACAGTCATCCGGAATGTTCTCGTTTTCCTCCTCACTACTTGAATCAGAAGTTACTTCTGCAGAGCTTGAGTCACTTTGCACGTCATGCTCAGTGGAATTGTTGTCCAAGTCATTAGCCATTGGTAAATGTAGTACGTAATCTTCCTTACTACTCAGACTCTTACTCCTAAAACCAAGACATTTTCAAAATATTTTAATTTTATTTGCTTCTTATAATTTCAAAGTCTATATAAAGGCCTAAATCTTGGATCTGTATGTACTATGTAATAATATATGAACGGATAAAAGGGTCAGGGTGTATTTCAAACTTCAACTTTTGACTTGATCAACTACACTCGCTCAATAATGTATATTAAATAGTTGAATATAAATGATCAGAGTGTAACTCTGTAATATAATATTACAGCTGTTCGGAAGAATACGAGCAGTCGAATAGTCCGCTCTCCTAAAAGAGTTTGATCCGAGAGCAATTATATTTATTGCATAGCGGAATTTCTTACTGTATAATCCACACGTGCTAGACAGTACAGGAGACAAGAAGTCTGGCTATTTTACGGCCGTTCCCACGGGACCATTCCGATTGGAGCCAGTAGTAGTAGCTCCTATCAGAATGGTGCCGTGGGAACCGAATTACCGCAAAAAATACCCGGGATACCAAATACCTGATTGAAGTGTACGGTATGCGGTGTGTTTTGAATTTGACTTACCTATAGTTGTCATCCTAATTGTATTACCATAAATAAACTACTGGTAAAATTAAATACCAAGTGCAGACTGCAGTCAATCGACCCACTGAAAAACTATAGAATTTTCGAGACCCTATTATTCTTTAGCCATAATATATTACGGTGCGATTGATTCTGAGATGGCTAGATGACAAATGTTAATCTATAAAATTCTTAAACTATGATCTTTTAACATTTCACGTAAAACATTGTCGCCATAGGTTGATCATGAACACTAACAGCTTAATTTTAGATAAATGACTCATGAGTTTCTGTGCCGCATACAACTGCACTAAGCGTCTTGGACGGGATGAGAGCAGTTACCGAAACTTTATTCGCTTCTATAAGTTTCCGTTGGAGAACAATAAGGCTTATTCACGTACGAGAATGTGGGTTTCTAGAATTGACAGGGAAATGACACACATGAATTTTAAAAGCATGCGAATATGCTCTGATCATTTTTGCGATGATGACTTTGTCCAGACCACCTTCTATCGCACCACAATCCAGGACCCCGAGCATTGGAAGGGGATTCCGATACTGCTAAAACCTGACGCTATACCCAACACGATACGGGAGACAGGAGAGCGGCGAACACCACGGCCAGCATCAGCAGTTAGTAACACCAGCAGTATAAACACACCAGTCCTTAAAGTTAAACGTACGGGAGTTAAACGTCGGCTCACAATGACAAACCCAATCGAGCATATAGATAACTTATTGAACGTTAATAAGTCTTTGATAGATAAAAATGATCAAGCAATAGTGTCTCTAAGAACCCCTAGCAGTAGCACTTCCTCTGCCCCTACGACTCCAGTTAGTCTTGGCTTAGACGTGGTATGTCCAAGTATTTTAGATCAGGTTCAGGAGACTACTTTGACTAAAACCCGTGTGAAATCAGTATATGTTCAGACAGAATGTTTCAGATGCAGTAATTGCTGTAAAAGTAACAATGTTCGGGACATTAGAGAAAACGAGTCCGTAGTGCAGAGTTTAGGTTCAGAGGATGAAATTGTGTTAGATGATCGTGATATAATATACACTGGTAGTGCAGATTATTCGTTTCTTCCGACAAATAGTGCTCACAATCAAAATGCTTTGTCAATGTCAGTAAATAAAACATTTACAAGCCAAAAACGAAACATAAATAAGATAACACCCGTGAAATCTGTCATAGTTGACGTTGAAATGCTACTGCAACTCTTTAAATACTGTCTGCATTGCAGTTCTCCAGTTGAATCTATTAAAACCAACTATTCGGGATCTGCTGTAGCAGTGGAGTGTATGTGCTTAATGGGACACAGCTTTGTTTGGCGGTCGGGTGATATGCCACATCGAATCGCACTCCTTAACGTTAGATTAAGCGCTGCTGCAACACTCAGTGGGCTAGGTTATTCGACATTTGAAACATTTTTCAAGCTTCTTGAACTTCCCCCTTTATCTAAACCTGCGTTCTACAAATTAGTCAAGACTTGGCTCTATCCAGTAATTGCGAGGGATTATGCTTTGATGAGAACTAAAACAATCGAAGACTTGAAAAAATGTGACGAAGTGACTATTTGTGGTGACGCACAATACGATAGTCCGGGGTATAGTGCAAAATTTTGCACATACACGCTCATGCAGTGTGGAACTGATAGGATCGTGGACTTTTTACCCATCCAGAAGGGCCAGTATGAGGGGGAACTAGAGCGGAATGCGTGCGAAGAAATTCTCAAGATGTTAACAGAAGAGGACCAGTTGAAAATAACTAGTTTTGTAACGGATGCACATATTGGGATCGGCAAACTAATGCGTGAAAGTTACCCCTCTGTTCAACATTCGTATGACATTTGGCATTTTGGTAAATCCCTGAGGAAGAAGTTTAAAAAAGCCAGCAAGAAAAACCCAAAAATTGCGTCATGGGAAAATTCCCTCGTAAACCACTTTTGGTGGTCAGCTCAAAACTGTAACGGTAACCCTGAACTTTTAATGGAACTTTTTCACGCTTCACTGTTTCATGTACTCAATATTCACGCGTGGGGGAACAGAAGAAAAATCCACCAACAGTTTAAGACATTAAAGGGTACCAAACCTTACCCTAAGCCTCCAACTTTAGACAAGCTCAACCAAAAGTGCTTGCATCAAACACTGACAAAGGGTGCGAGCAGGAAAGGGATGTGGTTTAAAATAGGCGATTCTGACTTTGAGGCTCTGTTTAAGGTTATTACTAATACTAGAATGTGTAATTCCATGAAAAAGTGCGCAAAATTCCTCCATACCGGAGCACTAGAAGCACTCCACTGTGCCAAATTAAAGTATTTGCCGAAAAGGAAAGCTTTTTCTATGGATTCTACTATCGTCCTGATGATGCTGGTCTGTATTGAGCACAACAAAAACCTGAGAATAGGGACGACTTCAAAACCAAGGACTAAAGTTGCCTACTCAAGAGCTCAAAAACAATATGTTTTGAAAAATAACTATTTTAGAGACAATATTTCGTACAAGAAGTCATTTTTAGAACTTGTTCAAAACCATGTTAAAAGCAACACCAAGCTTCCTATTGACCTAGGTAGATATAAGCGTAAGGTTGTGCCGAAAAGGTTTCATACTGCTGAGAAACCTAGCAAAGTGTTGTTAGAGCAGAAAAGATTGAGCAGAATGGGAAAATAGATCATATAGCTAGCTATATAATGACTTTGATTATATTTTTAAGTATCTCAAGATTCTTATGATCTACTAATTTGAACCATTTGTGTCGGTTAATTAAGCTCTTTTTATTGTCTAACTCTAAAGTTGTGTATTATGTCCAATTTCTACCTGTAAAATACAGTCACGCGAGCTCCTCAGAGCCTCTGCGCGCGCAATGAGGGACTTCGTGACGTCATCACCAAAATAATACAAACGCTATTTACACGCGTTAGAGAGCAGTTAGAGATTTAGGAATTTCGACTCGTTGCTTAGTTTGCTATTTGTCACAATCTGTCAAAATATGAGGATAACTTTTTTTTCAGTTAACTGGTCCTTTAACCCACTGGCCACTACTTACCTAAAAATATTTTCAGTACTGCTCTAAATTTTCAAAGTAGTTTATTGCTGTGACTTTACTCAATACATACTGCATCAGTTGCCAACAACAGTTGCTAGGCTACATTCCATTAGTCACATAGCAACGTAATATTTGGATTACATTTTGGGTGTATCATGTTACTAAAACAGTAGACACTCACCGGACACCAACCAGTCCGGGACAGAATCAAATTTATCATTATTATGCGCTTTATCATCTTTATGAAGACACTGTTTGACTGCGCTGATTAACAGGATTCAATTAAAATATCTAATTCTTATCTGTTTTACTTTCTATAATAGATTGCAAATCTTTGTTATATTGTTTACATCTCTTGTTTGCCCTCTTACAAAGATTTGCTTGATTTAAGATGTTAAGAGTCGCTGATTTAATGGATTTTTTAAACCAAACTTTATTAAACCAAAATACCATAAAGTATTACAAAAATGTTGCATATTTAAAACATGAACAGCAACTCACCACATCATATTCATTAACTTAAGTTAATATTTTTGCATAGATTTATTCTATGCATTGATCATGAAATGAAACATTATTCCGACAACTTTATGACACTTAGATGGTTCTCCATGAAACATGTCGCCTAAAAATAAGTTAAAGTCAACTGAACTATTTTAACAAGTCGAATCCTGGTTGCTTTTTAAATGATACTTGCTGTTTGCGATTTCGTAAGCAAACTTTTTAATTGAATATGTTTTTCACGGAGCGAACAGTGCGGGGTTATTAAATTATTAAAAATTCTTAACAATGAAAAACTAAACATCAGACCTGCTAATTTTTGGTCAAATTATAATTTTTAGATCGGACCAACTAAACTTTTTGAGATTTGGAATTAATTAAAATTCTATCGGACCTAGACTGATCGGGGGATAGTAATTTCACTCCCAATTACAATGAACATAATAAACAAAAGCATTAAGCTAAAGGGTTTTGTCTATATAAGAGTATAACTCCACTTTTGACCTATTTGACGGCCACTTATTATTTTCATAATCGCACTGTTTGTTTCTCCATTTTGTCGGTTTTTTTCAGGGAGTGCGATTACAAAACTAATCGCACTGTTCTGATAGCAACCGAAAACAAATTTGGTGCGATTACAAAACTAATCGCATTGATTTTATGAAAGATAATGTGTAGATGTGGATTCTGGTGGGGAGGTGAGGCACATTTGTTTACTTTAAAGGAAGTCACGTGTTCGACAGCTTTCAGAGGTGATTTAACTGGTGATACTCGGTTGGTCTAAAAATCCGGGATTTTGGTTGACGTTCTGAGAAGATGGCAATCGTTACCATAACTGATCGAACAGGTACTAACACGATTTTCAGAGAAAACCTCTGATCAAAACTTTCTAACAATCATCACAACTGCAGATAATAAGAACGAGCCGATTCTTGCTCCATCCCTTCCTAGCGGCCAATAGCAATCGATGAGTTATGTCACGTGACTCAGATCCGAACGATCACATAACAGGAGCAATGAGCATCAGACGGTTATCATATGTTTACTTTTCTTATCTGTATTTGACCCTTTGTTGAGGTGGTTATCAGACATTTTCGTGGAGCTACTAGATTGTACAATCAACCGAGAGAGAGTCACTTCGTTTCTCGGATGAGGTTTCAGGTTGAAGTGGAGGGTTGAAATGCGCTGTTCTTTGAGTTGCTCAGTGCTCTCAAAACAGTGCGATTAGTTTATAAGTCCGTGCGATTATAAACGCACTGATTATAAATATAACACCAGAAGCGTGGAGTTATACGCGAATTTAAAGTTGCATGTATAATACGATTACACCATGGTTATAACTGCAATAATCGAACTCGGCTTCGCCTCGTGCGATTATTGTTTTAATTCGCACTCGGCTGCGCCTCGTGCAATTAATAATGTAATCGCATTACCCGCAGTTAGATTAGCGTATATGATATTACCTAATCTGTGACATATTTTCAGTTGCTGGAGCGAACAGAAGAGAGCAGGCCCGGAACTACACAGTATGGTAGAGTCTACGACACTCTCATCAGGAACAGTCACGCTAACAACTACATAACTTTGAGGAACAAACATGGCGCTGGTAATGATCCTGAGACAGTCGCTGGTAAGTCGAGACAGTCGCGCGAAAATTGAGTTAGTCACTGGTATGTCGAGACAGTCGCTGTTTAGTTGAGTCGCTGTTTAGTTGAGACAATTGACGTCAAATATCCTTACTACTGCTCAGGCAGCTATTATATCATATCGTATCATTTTATGTTGATACCGACAGCTTTAATGATACAAAATTGAGCGATTTAACGCTTAGCCGTTATGATAATCGTATCAAATTAATAACTTTATAAATGCTGTATCAAACTTATAACTCTACCATGATATGCAGCAAATTTCTAAAAAGCTGCATCAGCAATCAGCATTGTATTGTGGCAGAAAAAATATCACGAATGTTGTAAAGTATCAAGTTTAGAATACAGTAAAAACTCTTCATAGCTCTCTATAATTACTGAGAGTGTTAACAATATTCGGCTGACCCCCCCCCCCCCCCTTTCTCCTGTCCGTTTAATAGTCACACTCGGCCTGTCGCGTCGTTAACCATCATGCTTTTGGAGTCATGGAAAGTTTGCGGAAGAGCTCTCTTAACGCGAAAACTTGATACTAGCGTAAACAACAACTTAACTTATATCCATATTATATATATTTAAAATATCATGTGGTATAACACACGACAGTAGCGAAAAAGAGGGAGTGGCATGCTACACCCACTGTAATCGACGAAATTTTACGAAACTTTCGGGAAATCTAAGTTTGACACATATTTAATAATCTCTAAACTTTGTGTGCAATTCTGGCACGAACTACGTGAGTTATTAAAGGGTTAAATCATGCGGATTAACTTCTGGGCGCCACCCTGCATACTAAGCCGGGTTTAATTCTCTAACTTATAATTATATCCCTCGATCAAACCTTTTGAGGAAAGTGCCACTCTCCCAACACGGCTCATACCCACGAGCTGAGTTAAAGTCGGGCAGATTAGATTCAGTTTCTTGATGAGTGGTTTAAGTTTGGTTCCATTAGAGTTTGGAGAGATTTTAGAGGACGCCGCTGGATATATTGAGATTATTGACCGTAAGCTGCCGCCTGCCAGATTGATGCGTGTAATAAACCCACATCCAGAAAGTCCTAAATTTCCTCGCAGTCCAATGTTTTCCCTTTAAATTATTTCTTTTGCCCTAAAAGTCAGGTCTTCTAAAAATTTCCTCCACAATCCAAAATTTCCTCGCAGATTATATGCCGCTTTTCTAGATGTGGGCATATAAAATATTAATTGTTCATTAATTACTCCATTAATAGCAGGGTATTGAAAGTTCGGGCTTATCTCAAATCTCAATAATGGCTTTCGGAACATAATATATAATAATGATTTTCTCAAGCAAGATGTGGCAACAAATGATGGGATGACGAAAGGCAACTAGGTATAGCTTACATATAATTATGACCTACATATTATGGTAAATATACGGCCACTATACACTATACAGCCACTGCACCGCCCAACATACGGCCAACATACGCTGAAAATAGATCTAAGACTATCTACCGGTGACCGATTAAATCAAGACCGCCAATTCCACTCGAATCAGTGGAGTGAATAGAGTCAAAGTATGAAGTTGTGTGGTTGCCTCACTATTATAAATCCAGCTTAAAAGTGTGAATTTCTGTGGTTACCCCACCTTAGGCACAACTGAGCATGAAACTGGGACATGATAGCAGCAATCAAAAAATTGTATATTATTTGCATTCGGTGATATTCCTGATTTGTGCAGAGTCTGCAGACTTATGAACATTTTGTTTTTTGGTACGTAACAGCCAATGTTAATTGGTGACTCAGTAACCATATGGCTCGGCCAGTTACAGAAACCCGAAGGATTTTCACAGTCGGAAATAGTTGTCCGAGGCTTCCGCTCATGATTTTTGCTCCTCATTTACCCAAAATCTCGGTTTCCTGATTAATCAGCTGCTTGGAGTTTAATCGTGGGAGCGGTTCCGATCAAATTCCAGTAGTAGCAGATATTTGATGAATAGCTGATAGCGGCGTTATGACCTGCACCTGTTTGATTGCAAGCTGTGTGAGATGCTACTACACCACTTATCTTAGCCCTAGCGGTTGCTAGAATTATAACACGATTGTCGAGGGCATTAGTCTGTTACATTATTAAAGTGATTTCGTTAGTAATAATCTTTTTCGTACTGATAAAGTCGAGGTGTCCTTGGTGTTATATGGGGGGGGGGTGTCACGTCCGTCTATGTCCGCTTGTCTCATAGAATCCAAAAAGGACAGGACATAGGCGGACATAGGCGGACATAGGCGGACATAGACGGACATAGGCGGACATAGACGGACATAGGCGGACATTAATGGACACCTAAATTGCTAAATAAAATGTTCAATTTTTGCTGTTATAAGGGGATCATGTTTTTTGTCCGTTCGGTACCCTATATTTTCAAAACGGACAAAAAATAGAGCGGACAAAAACGGACAAAAATGGACAAAAACGGACAAAAATGGAAATAACATTTAGATGCTTCCTCCTCCTACTCTTCCTCCTCCTCCCCCTGGGTCTTCCTGATCTTCCTCAGTCCTCTTCCTCCTCCCCTCCTCAGTCCTCCTCCTACTCCTCCTCCTCGTCCTCAGTCCTCCTCATCAGTCCTCAACAGTCCTCCTCCTCCCCAGTCCTCCTCCTCCTCCTGAGTCCTCCTCCAGAGTCCTCCTCCTGGGTCCTCCTCCTGGGTCCTCCTCCTCTTTATCCTCCTCCTGTTCCTCCTCAGTCCTCAGTCCTCCTCAGTCGTCCTCCTCATCCTTCTCCTCAGTCCTCCATCCTCCTCCTCAGTCCTCCCCCAGTCCCCCTCCTCCTCCTCCTATTCAGTCCTCCTCCTCCTCCTCCTTCTCAGTCCTCCTCAGTCCTCCTCCTCCTCCTCCTCCTCTTCCCTCTCAGTCATCCTCCTCCTCCCCTCCTCAGTCCTCCTCCTACTCCTCCTCCTCGTCCTCAGTCCTCCTCATCAGTCCTCAACAGTCCTCCTCCTCCCCAGTCCTCCTCGTCCTCCTGAGTCCTCCTCCTGAGTCCTCCTCCTGGGTCCTCCTCCTGGGTCCTCCTCCTCCTCTTCATCCTCCTCCTCTTCCTCCCCAGTCCTCAGTCCTCCTCAGTCGTCCTCCTCATCCTTCTCCTCAGGCCTCCCCCAGTCCCCCTCCTCCTCCTCCTATTCAGTCCACCTCCTCCTCCTCCTCCTTCTCAGTCCTCCTCAGTCCTCCTCCTCCTCTTCCCTCTCAGTCATCCTCCTCAACCATCCTCCTCAGTCCTCCTCAGTCCTTCTCAGTCCTCCTCCTCAGTCCTCCTCCTCCTGGGTCCTCCTCCTCCTCTTCATCCTCCTCCTCTTCCTCCTCGGTCCTCAGTCCTCCTCCTCCTGGGTCCTCCTAACTAACTTGGTAACTTGGTAAGGTTTATCCTCGTAGCAGGAAGGGTCATCTGATGTCTGACCACCGTGATGGCGTGTAGTCTACCAAGGAATTCGACCAGCTGCACGTATAACCGGAAACCGGAGGGTTATCCGGTATCAAAGCAAGAAACTTAGACAAACTGACTTTGAAGCTGGCAAACGTTTTCTCGGCTTTCACTTCACTCGGCACCTTATTCCACAGTTTGGATCCTTTTACTGCGAACGAGCTATCATACAGTGTCTGGTTTCTCATCGAACTCGACTTTGATAGAGAAGTAACAACTGCTTTAGTGCCATATCTGGATGTTTCCACAAACTCGATGCTACAGCTATTTGGAACAACGTTATGGTACGTTTTCCACATCACCAAGATGATGTATCTCTCCCTTCTCCGTTGCAGGGACATTAACTTCAAATGAGCTAGCCTCTCCCAGTAGTTTAAGCTGTATAGACCACCAATGCGGCTTGTAAAGGTACGCTGGACCCCCTCCAAAAGCTGAATCTCTGTCGTCTTGACTGGGTCCCACAGCGGACAACAGTACTCCAATAAGCTTCTGACTAGAGACTTGTGGAGGGTCATCATAACCACTTTATCCCGTGTCTTAAACACACTGAACACCCAAGACAGTTTACTTCTAGCTTTGGTGACCATATCCCCGACGTGTTTAGACCAGCTCAGATCGCTTGACACTTTTACACCAAGGTCTCTAACGTTTTCTACGGGATAAAGAGTGACGTCACTAGAAACCTTGTAGAGGAGACTTTCTACGTAGAAGGGAAGTTCACTTGATAAGTTCCTCTTATTGTGTAGGTGGTTTAGGAGTTCGAACTTCTGCTCGTGTAACTTCATGTTGTTACATAGGGACCAATCTATAATGCTGTAAAGATCAGTCTGAAGAAGTTGGCAGTCTTCAAGGCAGCTAATTTGCTTGGAAACCCTAGTATCGTCTGCAAAGAAGCTCACTCTAGAATGCTTAACCACGTCCTCTAGGTCGTTGATGAACAACAGGAAGAACAGTGGACCTAAAACACTGCCCTGAGGCACCCCGCTTAACACCTTAGCGCTGTCTGAATGCACACCGTTCACGACAACAACTTGGTCACGACCAGTTAAGAAGGATTGAATCCATCTTAAGAGCTTCTCCTCCTCATCCTTCTCATCAGTCCTCCTCCTCCCCAGTCCTCTCCCAGTCCCCCTCCTTCTCCTCCTATTCAGTCCTCCTCCTCCTCCTCCTCAGTTCTCCTCAGTCCTCCTTCTCATTTCTCCTAAGTCCTCCTCCTGAGTCCTCCTGAGTCCTCCTCCTCCTCCTCCTCCTCTTCCCTCTCAGTCATCCTCCTCAGCCATCCTCCTCAGTCCTCCTCAGTCCTCCTCAGTCCTTCTCCTCAGTCCTCCTCCTTCTGGGTCCTCCTCCTCCTCTTCATCCTCCTCCTCTTCCTCCTCAGTCCTCAGTCCTCCTCAGTCGTCCTCCTCATCCTTCTCCTCAGTCCTCCCCCAGTCCCCCTCCTCCTCCTCCTATTCAGTCCACCTCCTCCTCCTCCTCCTTCTCAGTCCTCCTCAGTCCTCCTCCTCCTCCTCTTCCCTCTCAGTCATCCTCCTCAGCCATCCTCCTCAGT